TACTAAATTTTCTTAAGATATAGATTTTTACCCTTTAAAACACAAAATCACATATAGAAATAACAAAAATATCAATTTTTTGAAAATATTTATTCCCTCAATAACATTATTTATAGACAAAAGCTTAAACAAAAATTATGTATATATATATACCACCGTAGGGAACGTGTTACAGTATCGCCTTTTTCGGTTACAGTATAGAATTTTAAAGATGGAGGATTATTGTTGGGAGGACAGGTAGGTGATTTTTATTCCGGTCCATACTACAAGTAGTTTAGTTTCTAAAAGATGTTTTTGTGCTTTGCTTGTAAGAAACAGAATCCGGTATCTAGTCATATATTTCTTCAGACTCTGCACCCCAGATTTATCGTTATATTGTCTCATAAATATGCAGATTTGACAGTTTGAAAATTTGAATCGAGAGACCAACGCATTTTTCTCCAATTTCGACATTATTTATGCATGCCTAGAAAAAGTAAATATGCAAAACGTTAGTCCTTTATGTTAGGAAACGTTTATAAAAGTAAATGACCAATTGAACCTTTTTTCCTGTTCGTTAAATGCGTTTCAAAAAATAAACAATGTTACAGTATAGAGCGAGGTGATTTGTGCAGGGTTACAGCATAGACCTAGCAATTTTGATCCGATTTTGTTACAGTTTATACCCAGATTTCGGTTACAGTTTAGACTTCGATATTTTCTATATACACTAGGTAAAATGTTTGAATGTTACATAGACATTTAAATCTCTGTGAGCTGATTGGCCCGATGGCTATTCGTCCGTCTGTCGTACACATGTTTGTTCAATCTCATTCGCTCAGTAACTACTTGACTAAATGTGATGGAATTTACATGACTTTCTACCAATAAGTTGTTCAAATGGTTTCGGTTGCAATCGGGGATACGAAAACCCAAATTATAGATTTTGAAAAAAGGCAATGTTTAAAAACACTTCTCGTCTCGAACCAAAAGCATTCAAATCAAATCATGATCATAACGTCATTTCGAATGCTTCTTTGTTGAATTTACGATTATTTTGTCATAATTAAATTAAAAGTCGTTTTTTCTTATTTCAGACATTCTGCATAGCAGTTTTCATGTTTCTGAAAAAGAAAATAATATTGAAAGTTATAGAGTATAAATTAAGGTCAGACAATTACAATATTTTCTCTAGTGAACCTGATGGAGGTACATAAAAGTGGCAGAGTCGGGATAAGGCCGTCGACTAAACTCGACTTCAAATTATCTTTCATTTACTGCTGTAGTTGAAATCCAATCACGACTTTGGATTCTTTGTATGTGAGGAATCTATCAAGCTAATTTACGGAACGTCGGTGGTTCTAGTCGGGTGCCCACTCGTGTCTGAAATGTTTCACAAAGGGATTCTGGGGTCTTTCTTTACACTAAAGCAGGAATGTTTGCACATGACCTCAGTGTCGTTGAAACTTAAAATCCAAGAAGGCCAAATGTAACAAACCCTTTTAAATACTTACAAAATACATTATGGTAGATGGAAATTCCAACTTAAAATAAAATTTAAGGTTGAAATATTGCTCATTTAAATACTGTTTAATCATTCTTAGGGTATTGCCTGCTTGTTAATTGTGTCTTTTGACAGTTTATTTATGGTATGCAGGCTTCATAACCTGCGATCCCCTCTCAAAATTTCATTTTATTTAGTTTCACTCATTGTATTTTCGTTTAGGGCACACGAAATCTTTAACCTGGGGATAATATGCCGCTTTTCATAGAATGGCAATAACGTGTCACATTGAAGGTTCCATGATAACCGCCATATGAACACATCCACAGATGTTAAAAAATCTAAAGTGTACCAGTTCATGTTAAATATGAATTCTGATGAAGCCGGTGCTAGTAGGCGTGGACGGTAGCTTGCAGTTACCACTACCGTCCATGAACAGGTTTAATCAAACTGATCCTGCAACATTTTCATGTTTTCCTTGCTGGACTTCTGTTAAGGATTCTTTTTTCTCTATTTCATTACTAATAGGCATTAGTATAATGTGTAATGAAATCAAGCAATAATCTTTCTTCTCTCAATACAATTCGATAAAAGTTACTGTTGTTGTCGTGAAAACAGTCCTTACTTAGGACATTACTTATTCTGCAAAAAGTCTCAATCTGAAACTTAAAGTAAGAAAAATAGCAAACTATAACTATTCTGCTGAAGAAAAAAAGTAATACAACCTTTCAAGAATGTATTAAACAGAAAGGTATGAGTTATTTCATAAAAATAATGGATACACGAATTTGTGTAAAATTTAGCAATTATCTAAACTGTAACCGAAATCTGGGTATAAACTGTAACAAAATTGTATCAAAGTCGCTAGGTCTATGCTGTAACCCTTCAAAATTAATCTCGCTCTATACTGTAACATTGTTTATTTTTTCAAACGCATTTTACCAACAGGAAAATAGGTTCAACTGGTCATTTACTTTTATAAACGTTTCTAAACACAAAGGACTAACGTTTTGTAAATTTACTTTATCAAGGCATGCTTAAATAATGTCGGAATGGGGGAAAAATGCGTTGGTCTCTCGATTCAAATTTTTAAACCTTCAAATCTGCACATTTATGAGACAATAAAGAGTTAAATCTGGGGTGCAGGGTCTGAAGAAATATATGACTAGATACCGGATTCTGTTCTTTACAAGCAAAGCACAAAAACAACTTTTAGAAATTAAACCTTTTGTAGTATGGACCTGAATAAAAATCACCTACATCTCTTCCCATAAATAATCCTCCATCTTGAAAATTCTATACTGTAACCGAAAAAGGCGATACTGTAACACGTTCCCTACGGTGTATATAGGACAGGTCTATTGATGTGCTGTTAATGTAAGTTTCGTGGATTCTATTGCTATGTAAATAAATGTATCAAAATGGAAATAAAACAAAAACAAAAATCCAACAAGCAATATACTAAATTTTGTACGCAACTCCACGGTGGCCATTTATTTGAGGTAAAAGAATTATTCAAGTGTAGTGATAGACTGACAGTAGTCAAATTCTTGCTCAATTTTTAAATTTAATGAAAAACAAGTATACCAGGAATGGACATGATTTAAACACTTCACTCAATTTCATTTGACAACGGTTATTGTAAGATGTATATATAAAGCAATTAAAGATCTTACAAAAATATTTATTGAATTACTGATCTCAGGTTTTTAAAAAATATTAAACAGTTACAGTTAAATATAAACAAACGTAGTTGCACATAATTTTTGTTAGATACGTATGTCTCCGTTTCAAACGATGATCATGCACCAATCCAAGAGTAATTGTTTTTTGTTTTTTTTTTTGTTTTTTTTTTAAATTCACATAGAGCTATAACTCAAAAATACACAATCAGATTTAATAATGTTTGATGAGCATCATTTCTTTATAATAATAGACATTAATGCCCAGTTTCATTACAACCAACCACTTGTAAACTATGACTAAAAAAAAGCCCCCTTTGAGGCTTTGTTAAGAAAGGGCTGTAACACAAAAAGCCCTTTTATATTAAACTGTAAGATCCTCTTTTTCCTATTCTTATAAATGTTCCTACCTAAGTTTCAAGAAAATGATAATGATAATAAAAATAATAATAATAATGATGACGACGACGACGACCGACGACGACGACGACCGACGACGACAACAACAATAATCTCTTTATTTAACGAAGGAATCTTATTTAGACAATACATCAACGCATTAGAGATAATAATAATAATAATATTAATAAATAATAATAATAATGATGATGACGACGACCGACGACGACGAGCACGACGACGACGACGACGACGACGACGACCGAAGACGATGACGACCAACGACGACCGACGACGAGCGACGACGAGCGACGACCGACGACGACGACCAACGACGACCGACGACGAGCGACGACGACGACGACCGACGACGACGACCGAAGACGACGACGACCAACGACGTCCGACGACGAGCGACGACCGACGAAGACGACGACGACCAACGACGACCAACGACGAGCGACGACGACGACGACCGACGACGACGACGACGACCGAAGACGACGACCGACGACCGAAGACGACGACCAACGACGACGACGACGATGACGACCGACGACGACGACCGACGACGACGACGACAACAACAACAACAACAACAACAATAATCTCTTTATTAACGAAGGGATCTTATTTAGACAATACATCAACGCATTAGAGATAATAATAATAATAATAATAATGATGATGACGACGACGACGACCGACGACGACGACGACCGACGACGACCGAAGACGACGACGATGACGACCGACGACGACGAGCGACGACGACGACGACGACCAACGACGACCGACGACGACGACGACCGACGACGACGACAACGACCGAAGACGACGACGACCAACGACGACGACGACGAGCGACGACCGACGAAGACGACCAACGACGACCGACGACGACGACGACGACCGACAACGACGACGACGACCGAAGACGACGACCGAAGACGACGACGAACCGACGACGACGACGACCACGACGACGACGACCGAAGACGACGACCGAAGACGACGACCGACGACGACGACGCCGACGACGATGACAACGACGACGACCGACGACGACGACGACGACCGAAGACGGCGACGACCGACGACGACATCAACAACAACAACCAACAACGACGACGACGAGCGACGACCGACGAAGACGTCGACGACCAACGACGACGAGCGACGACGACGACGACCGACGACGGGAAGACGACGACCGACGACGACGACGACCAACGACGAGCGACGACGACGACGACCGACGACGACGACGACGACCGAAGACGACGACGACGACCAACGACGACCGACGACGATGGACGACCGACGACGACGACGACAACAACAACAACAACAATAATCTCTTATTTAACGAAGGAATCTTATTTAGACAATACATCAACGCATTAGAGATAATAATAATAATAATGATAATGATGATGACGACGACGACGACCGACGACGACGAAGACCGACGACGACCGAAGACGACGACGACCAACGACGACCGACGACGAGAGACGACCGACGACGACGACAACGACGACCGACGACGAGCGACGACGACGACGAGCGACGACGACGACCGAAGACGACGACGACCAACGACGACCGACGACGACCAACGACGAGCGACGAGCGACGAAGACGACGACGACCAACGACGACCAACGACGAGCGACGAGGACGACGACCGACGACGACGACCGAAGACAACGACCGACGACGACGACGACCAACGACGACCGACGACGATGACGACCGACGACGACGACCGACGACAACAACAACAACAACAATAATCTCTTTATTTAACGAAGGAATCTTATTTAGACAATACATCAACGCCATTAGAGATAATAATAAAAAATAATAATAATGATGATGACGACGACGACGACCGACGACGACGAAGACCGACGACGACCAAGACGACCGATGACGACCGACGACGACGACCGACGACGACGACGACGACAACAACAACAACAACAACAACAATAATCTCTTTATTTAACGAAGGAATCTTATTTAGACAATACATCAACGCATTAGAGATAATAATAATAATAATAATAATGATGATGACGACGACGACGACCGACGACGACGAAGACCGACGACGACGACGACCGATGACGACGACCGACGACGACGACGACCGACGACGACCGACGACGACAACAACAACAATAATCTCTTTATTTAACGAAGGAATCTTATTTAGACAATACATCAACGCATTAGAGATAACATATACTCGTTTGATGCAAAATCTTATTATTCAACAAGGCTTTCAAAACATAAGAATAGACAAATTACAAGCAATTATAAAGATTACAACATTCAGTACATCTTAACAAACAAAGAAGACAGACATAATATCATCATATGATAGTATATGTATATTGTCTATAATTCATCGTTTGATAATAATAAATGTTTAAAATATGATTTAAACGATTTCAGACTTTTCTAAAGGAGTTCTATAACTACATACAAGAATGATAAAATATATGTTTCAAATAATTTGTTTTGGGTTGTTTATGCACAATGTCTTTTTCTGTGCTGATCTTAGTAATTGCTTTGTACGTACGTTTTAGTCTTAGATAACGGAATAAGATAAAAAATATAATTATGAAAATAATAACTTGTGCCCCAAATGTGAGTAACAAATTCTTTGCATTTATTTTGCTATACATGTATAAAATAAGTGTGAGGACATGTTACATATGATTGGGGGGGGGGGGGGGGGGGGTAACTCGTAGTTAAATTTTTGACATAGCTCATACAAAGACGTAAATCATACTTTATTGTACTAAATGGTTTTTAAATTTAGCTGATCATTAAAGAATGTTACTATAATAATACGATTATTGATTTTAAGTAGATTACATCTACCTATACGGTTTAATTACTCATTAATTAGGTCTCTATAAGTCCTAAAATAAACGCTCTTTGGGTCAGTATTGGAAGTATAAATAGCCATTTTGTCACAATGAATAAATTGATTGTTAATACTTTGTTATAATTTGTAGAAGGAATCCGAAGTTTATCCAATAAGCGCCAATATTAGATATTAAATTCCTATTACAAATCGGGATAAGTTTAGCCATTGGATTCTAGTTTCGATGGGTAGGGCTTAATACTTCTTTTTTTTCAGCTATTGCAGGGTTCCTGACTTGTCCGGTCACTGTATTTCATCATGTTAACCCTAAACAAGATGGATTTTTAAAATGGAATGCCAAGCTTTGAATTTTGAATAGTTTGTGATATTTTTAAAGAGGAACTATATATTATTATATTCTTTTTATCAGCAAAAACCATAAGCGTGTTCAGGATTTAAGAATGCAACTTTGTACATTAACTTTAATCGTTACGAAAAATATATGATTTAATTCATTTTCAATATTGGGTATTTTATTCGCTAGTTTAAAGGGTTTAAAACCCAAAAACAAATTTTAAACTTATGTTGAACAACGCTATTTAAAAAGTAACCCCCCCCTTTTCTTTTGTGTTGTTTTTTTCATATTTTTTAATTTTTTTAAATTTACAAAAAGCATTGTCAATTTTCGTTTTTGGAAATTTGAAAGAGTTTTTCCCCCTATTTATTTAGTATTGTTTCTTTTTTGCTCCTTTGGGAAACTTGATTTCAGCACTTTTAGAAAATTTAAATACCGCTTTTAAACTTTTCTAGGGGTGAGTGCGTTGCCCCTTTTAATTATCCCCATGCAAAACCCCATTTTCCCTTAATTTTTTTTGAATTTTTGCTTTCCCAGGATCATTTTTCTTTCATTTTTTTTTAAAAAATAAAAAAAATTGAAAAAGTAAAAAATACAAAATGTTTAAATAGTACTGAAATGGCAAAAGCGTAAGTTTTTTTTTACATAGCATAATTGATTTGTTAAAGTCGTTTTGGAAACTTTCGTGGTATTTCATAAATTCATATCATAAGCAGAAACTGTCAAAGAAAGTTGATAAATATATAAGACTTACAAGAAGTAAAACAAGTTCACAATAGTAAAGTAAACTCGCTGCATTAAATGACAATATATCAACAGAAATAAATGCAACATATTTTATTGTACATTATAATAGAAAATATAACATATATCCGAGTTACAAGCGTTAATAAATATATTAGTAAATGAGTATTTTATAAGAAAATATATTGATTTGGACGGACTCCTTCTGTTTTATGCATTCATTAATATAATTAATTGTTTAATTTACTTTGAATTTATATAGGTTATAGACATTGTATTAAAATGTTAAAAGCGGCCTTCATCTTTTGTTTTTTGTTGAAAAAGCAATGCTTTGTTGTTTCAAACAAAGTATTTCGGTAATTTTACGTTTGAAAAGTACATCATATCACTGTTAAGCCTTGTTCAAAGTGTCCCAAGAGCTATTTATATTGCGTCAATGGCATTCGTTTCTAAAAGTAGTAAATTGGGAAACGAATCGTCCACATTACTAATTACATACAATTTATAGAGAGCAGACCGGTAGAATAGAGTATCGAGTGGTTTCCTTGTTGTTTATAAATATTGTATTTTAATTATCGTCTGCAAATTTCATTTTCCACCTTAATTCTTTGATTTTGACAATTATATGAAACATTTGTCTAAAATAGCATTTTTAACCTTTAGAAAGAAGCTGAAGGCCGCTTTTAATGCTGAATGAGTTTTTGCATTCGTATATTTCGTAATAACTATGTACATTGTACATGTAATTTTTTCAAAATCTGAATTGTGTTTATAGTCATTTGTCATTTCTCTATAAGCCATCTTTGCTAGTCTACAAAAAATTCAAACATTAAAACCCCTTTTACAGGTGTTTTTATTTAAAAAAAAATGAAAATTCCAAAAAACCATATATATCTATAAACCCCTTTCCAAAAATTTTCCCAATTTTTTGGGTTTTTGTTCCGGGTAAAACCAAATACAATTTTTACAAAAAAAGCTGTACGTTGTTTTGAACAACTTTTTACTATTTTAAGAACCCGTTTTTTAAAATTTTTACATAAATTTCCCTACAAAACACTGGACAATTTTCTTTAAATAATTTCCCTTAAAATTTTTAAAAGTCCCTTCCCGATTTTGGGCCTTTTAAAAAGTTTCTTTGCAAAGCAATTTTGGGTTCCTTTGCTCTTCCTCTAACCCAAAAATATCCCTTTAAATAAATTTCCAGGTTTGTTGAAACACTGGTAGATTCTTCTCTTCCCATCCACGTTGTATGTGCTCAAGTTGATGAATAAATAGCGGAAGTTGTGATAATACTTCAGCCTCGGTCTGAAACAAGAGAGCAATTTTAAGAAATTAGTACTATATAATATTGTATTGTCTATCTATAAATGATTAAGTGTTCACATTCAAAAATAAAAAACAATGCAATTCAAATAATATTTAAATATGCGTATTAACACACAAGTTTACAGCAGCCAATAACGAAAGTTCATGAACTTATTTCTTTTTTGTCAAAAATACATGTAAAACAGTTTTGGTGATATACTTACTACTTTGATGTTTGTTTTCAAGCCGTCTAAGATAGGTGCCGAGTTACAGTTTTTCTGTAAATGAAAAAAAAGTACATGATAAATCATACAATAAATTTCTGGAAACAGCCGACCTATTATGGCAGAATGTCCAGATAACAAGGTTTCTTCGATCACGATTCACTTTTTTTCGTTAATAGAATATAAAATTAATTCTTCCATAACAACTTGGTGTAATCAGAGGTGATTGCCTTCATATAATTTTAAAACAATCATTTTTATTCTTATAAAAATTATTTGGAGCACCAGAAAAGCAAAGATGAGTAATTTTTCATGAGTATTTTTTTCTTTTCAGTCTTAAATTGTACCACTTATTTATGCATCGTTCAATACAAGTATTATTATGTTTTATAAAATTAATCAAAACTTTAATTAATTTAAACAAACTTAAAATGTTCGTTCATTTACTTTAAAGGCGCATTATGCCTCAGAAATGCTTTCATTTTTATTTCTCAAAAACTTTTTATTTTTGTATCTTGATACAGTTTTTAAAAGATACTCATTTAAACATACTTGAACTATGTTTTGCTCTCCTTTGGTATAATTCTATTGAGTAAGTACTTTGTATGGAAGTAAAATACTACTTTTTTACATTTTGCTACCTTTACGACACATCACTGCACATTAAGTGCAAATTTCTTCTGTCGTGAAACATATATCATGCTTTTTATCATTATTAAAACATTATTAGACACGCATTTGACATTTCTCGAAGAATTAAATATATAAAGATTTCGGAGGCGTAATGTGTCTTTAATAATCTCTTAGGTACACATTGTGCTAATTTGAAATGAACCTTTGAACAATGCCTTACCTCTAAGCATTCGGAGAAGTCCTCTAATTCTTTAAAGATCGGAGCAATCGTCTCATTTAGCAGTTCTTTGCACTCGTTACAAACGTCTAGTTTCACGTTTCTGTTCTGTTTTACATGTTTGCAATGAGTATTTGCTAGACATGCCATGGCTGGAATGGAAAAGAAAATCTGATATATACAAGTCAAACTGTACATACACCTACAGACCTGAATATTTGGAACATCAACTAGTTTATGGAAACTTAAGAGCATGGCAAGTTTCGACAAAGATAAAAAAAGATGTCGTCAATCAAACGCCATACTTGCAGCAATCAGTGAATTGTTTTGTTTTATTGTTTTGTTTTGTTTTGTTTTCTTTCTAAACAGACCATTTCTTTCTATGGTTTGCACGCCGATTGTTTAACTTTAACTACATCAATAGTTACACGTGTCTT